GGACTTTTTTCATGGGGCTCTTGGGGCTGTTACTCAAGGAAAACTATCTCCCCCTTGGAGACGGAAACATAACAACGCCTTCCCCCAAAGTCAGTTTCCATTGAGGCTGAGCAGCTTCTTCCCCAAGAGACTGCTGTTCATTGGGTTAGAGTTTATACTGGGTGTTTCCATGCCCTGCACTTGCAAGAGTCTCCGAAAGATTTACATCCCCTGGTTTACTCAAGTTTCTCCAGTGTTATACAACCAGACTGTTGTCTCAGGCTTACACTGAGGCTGTAGATCACCTGCACAGTGCCCTCCTGAAAAAGGATGAGGTACTGCAGCCACCTTAGGTGGCTGTTCTCGGCCTGCTCTGTGAGTTGAAACCCCAATTTTAATATTTAATGTCTCATCAGTTTTCTCTCTGACTTGGCCATCTCTGAAATGGTACAGGAGGGTAATGTCTACTCTTTAAGCTTCTTGTTAGGGTTAAATGAGATGATGTATTTTTAAAAGGGTTTCAAGAGAGCTGGAGAGATGGGTCAGCAGTTAAGAGTTTCTGTTGTTAGAGAGGACCCAGGTTCAGTTCCCAGCACCTACATCAGGCAGTACACATCACAAGCAACTCCAGTTTCAAGAGACCCAACTACCTCTGGACTCCTCAGGCACCTTCACACATGTTCACATAAGCTCACACATATACACAGAAATAAAAATAAATAAAAATGTAAAAACAGTTTGTGGGGTCTGGGAAGACAACTCAGTGGGTAAGGTACACTAGCTCTGCCTGGAGCCCTAAGTTTAGATTCCCCCACCCATATAAAAAGCCTATCATGAGGGTACATGTCTATGCTCTTATGCTAGAGGGCAGAGACAGGCAGATCTTAGTGGCTGGCTGGCCAGTCTAGCAAACTTAGGGAGCTCTAGGTTCAGCGAAAATCTCTGACTCAGAAAGACAAAAATACAAGACAAGAGGGAGACATCCAACATCTACCTCTGACCTCTACAAAGAGCAAAGGCAAGTGCATCTACACACACTCACACACACATGCACACAGATAACACATATATGTACATGCACATGCACACATACAATAAACACACATACATATGCACACAGGTAAGAAATATGTACACACACAAGCACACAGGTAACACACACACATACACAGGTGTACACACACACAATACACATACACATGCATACGGAAACACACAAATGCACACACATAACAAACATGTACATACATATGCACAAATAACACACATGTACACAAACCACACACATGTACACATATCACACACACATGTACACACATGATATACACATCCACATCCACACAGATAACACACAACACACACATACACATGCCACAACACACACATACACATGCACACAGATAACACACACATACACACACATGATACACACATACATGTATATACACACATGCACACAGATAACACACACAATACACTCAGATAACACACACACACGTATACGCATACACATGCATACAGATAATACACAAATGCACACATGACTCACACATGACATATATGTGTCACATTTGTGCACATGTGCACACAGATAACACACATGCACACACACCACACACATGCACACATACACACACATGACACACATATGTACACACACATATATAACTTCAGTCTTTCACCAGGTTCATGATGTCAATTGACTTGACTTCTTGCTTTTGCCTTTTCCTTTCTCACATTACTTGTTCCAAATAAATAATAAGCAAACAAAGTAAACAATGTCCGTGGTCATTGGGAAGGTTGTGATGTTTCGCTTCAGTGTTACTTCACCCACCCTCCAAACCTGTTCAAGGGACTGCTTTGGGTCAGGGGTGGGGTTGTTGCTCCACACGCCTTGAGGCTGGCTTCCATGTCTCAGACATGAGGTCACAGGCACTGTCCTACTTGTTTCATTCACAATAATTGTTCACATGCTCTCCCAATTCATCCCTGACTCTAGGCAACTTCATATTTAATTGAGGCCAGCACCTAACCCAAGGGCTTGTTAACAGTACAATGGTGATCACTGAGTTCTTTCCCCGCCTTCACACTGTTGACGGAAACACTTGTTGGTTCTAAGGGTATAGATGTGAGTATTCCTAGAGATGAAAGGGCCAAGAAGGACTAAAGGCACTTGCCGAGGATGGAATTGCTCTTCTTTTATAGGACACAAGAGTCTTCTAATCTCGGTGATTAGTCTCAGGCCTGACTTAGCAGGTTCAGTTGAGGCACTATACCCAGTTAGCAAGCCATATTGGGTGTCCCACAGATGATCATGCAGCAGACATCCTGGGTGACCTGGGTGACACCTGACCTTTCAAACATTAAGCTTGGGGCTGGGAGTGGAGTCACATACTTTTAATCCTAGAACTCCAGAAGCTCTGACAGGTGGGTCTCTGTGAATTCAAGGTCAATCTGGTCTACATAGTGTGTTCCAGGCCAGACAGGGCTACATAATGAGACACCCGCCCCCTTTTAAAATTAAGCATCCAAGGGCAATACCTTCTTTCTGGGAGACCCTCCACAGAAACCTGCTGAATGAACAGATGAATGGGCCCTCGGGTCCCAATCCTGGCCATAGAGGAAGTGATTTCAGAGTTGAAATGGAAAACAGAGCTGCCCCATGCCTTTTCAGCAGTGTAGACAAGAGCTGAGGCCTCAGAATGAACGTCATGACAAATGTGGGTCAAAGTGCCTCAGGTTCCTAGTCTTCAAAAGCAGAGATAAACTCCTGGGCCCATTTTATAGAGAAAAAAAACTGAGACTCAGACTCAAAACTGAGCAAGACCCAGGAAACTAAGTGAAGATGTGAAGAAATATCTCCAGAGGGACTTCAGGCATGTTAAGCTCTGGGGAAAGATTGTGAGTATCTCAGAACCCCCTGAGAATTCTGGGAAAGAGGCCAAGAGAGGCAAAGTTTGCTGAATCTGGAAAGTGTGTGGACTACACCAAAATGTGGCATAAAATTATTTACTGACTGTAGCCACAAGTCCACCATTGCTGTTCTCCTCCCTCTCTTTCTCTCTCTCTCTCTCTCTCTCTCTCTCTCTCTCTCTCTCTCTCTCTCTCCCCCTCTCTCTCTCCCTCTCTCTCTCTCCCTCCCTCCCCCTCTCTCTCTTCTTCCTCCTTCTCTCCCTCCCTCCCTCTTTCTCTCTAACACATACATACACACACACACACACACACACATCTTCCCCAACAGATGTGGATACCCCATTCCTGAGACTCCTCAACAGCTCCCTAGATCCCCAGGATGAACTCAGTCCCACAATTGAACAGGCATGGGTGGGTGTTTACCTTCTTCTCTGCTCAAGAGAACACTGAGGGCCCCCCTAGATCATTCTCAAAACCACCTTGGCTGTGGCTGAGATTACTCAAGCCTACTTGGAAGGGGTTGCTCCAGTGTTAGCTACTATTGGGACTGTGCTCAGAAAGTGAGTCCTTTCAGGGAGTCAGCTGTCCCTCAGGCATGCAGGGACACTGGTCATGCAGAGGCAGAAAATGCGACAACTGTTGCAAACAGCCATCAGCAGCCCATGGAAGTGCTTGAGTGTTCTCTGGAGCAGACATTTGTCAACAGTTGAAGCAGCCCTTTATCCAGTGACACAAAACACCCGCTAGCTCCATGGCACCATTAGGAGCAAATTCAAGACAGACAGCCACACTGCCTTGACATTGACTTGAGAATCCATGAGCAACTTCATTAACCATAAAAAAATGTGCACACACTGCGTGGAAAGGGAAGAAAAGAACAAACAGCCTCCTTGAGTCCAAGGATCAAGTTCTAAGACAGCCTCAGAAGGCAAGCTCTGTACAGCTCTCTCCCTACAGCATAATCAGAAGAGTTTGAGAAAGAGGGGACTATGAGCTACTGAGTCCACATCAAACATCCCTAAAATGAGAAAGGCCTGCACACACTTTGCCAATGAAGACCCCACCATCCAAAGGCATTCAAAAATGTTTTCATCCATCCGTCGCTTCCAAAACATTACACAGTATTTCTCCAACAAATTTATGTGTTTCCAGGGGACTCTTGGAGCACAGGGGAAAAAGTACTTAGGTGAAAGAATGTCTGCAGATTCTTTTGTGCCAACATTCTCGCAGACCTCCTTTAACTTGCCATTATTTCATAGAGTGCCAGTAACCATTCCCTCATCCGCAGAGGAAATATATAATCCAGCTGTGGTGGCTCCAGTGGAAACCACATCTGTGGAACACTGGCAGAACTGGCAAGGCTTCTCCAACGGAGGCAGTGCCAGATAGCGTTTGTCCGAACCCAAGATGCACATGGTACAGTACTCTGAAAGTGCAGAACTTTGCCAAAGCCAGATGCTCCTTTGTATGCCGAACCAATGGTTTTCAGATAATCCACACCCATGAGAAAGAGACTCTCCTGAAATATTACTTCCAGTCCCCAGCTATCAGATGCCCCTGCCCTCTCTAGGGTGGGGTGGCCTGTGCCAGAGCCCTTGTTAATGTCAAATAAAGGAAGAAAACGAGCACTCCTGGATTCTGGGGGACGTTCTACCATGCAGCTGGCTGGCTGGCTAGCTGGCTAGCAAAAGGAAGATAGCCACCATGGGTCACCACTCTCTCCCTTCACTGGAGTTAGAAGGCAATGTACTTAAGGGCACTGGGTAATAATATTCCAGGAGTTACACACACACACACACACACACACACACACACACACACACACACGGACTCCCTCCTCTGTTTAGTCTATTCCTAAAGCGCGGCAATAAGCATCTTATTTCTAAGCCAATTTTCCATGTTTAAATCTTCCTAGTTTCAAGTGTGCCCCCAGGGGTTTAGTCTACAGACATATAAAGGCAATAGGTAGCGTCACCAAGCCTGGACAGACTTTCACCCCCAGTACAGGGCCTGAGGCTACCGGGCTGGCACGTCCCTGGCCCTGAGCCCACAGGTCCCCGTCCACCCCAGACAATAGAGCAAGAAAATGAAATGAAAAGTGGACTTACTGCTATGGCTTGCAGCCTCTCCTTGTGCAATTCCGCCTCTGCCATCCTGGAGAAGGGCACACGGGCAGGGGAAGAAGGAAGAAAAACAAAACACACGCTGTAGTCACCCAAGGAGATAAAAGGGCACCCGTGGGGGGCTCAACTCGACCCCGGGGACAGCCTAAGGGCGCGTGGGGTCTGCTCCTGGGGGGCGAGCAAAGCTGCGCGCAGGGCTGACTCAGGCTCAGCCTCGGTCTCCACTGGCGCGGCCGCCTGGCTGCGCCCCAGCGCCGCCGCGAACTGCAAGATCCCAGTCTCAACCACCACCGCCACCACCGGCCGCGCCAGCCGGGGACGTGGGGCGCCGGCAGCCTCCAGGAGAGCGCGCTCGGCCGCGCTAGGTCCCCGCCCTGACGTCTCCGCGCCTCGCTCCGCCCCTGGGGTGTGGGGGACCCGTGGCTGCCGCAGTCGCTCGCGAGTGGGGCACCTGGGGCGCTTGTGATTAGCGAGCTGGGGGGTTGGGGGCGCACAGCTGGTGCGCCTCGGTGGCCGCGCGCACTGCGCTCAGGGTCTAGACAAGACCAGGCGGCGCCTCTGCTCTGAGCAGAGATGCCAGCAGAAGGGGCCTTTGGCAGAACGCGGGCCCCAGCACGTGTCCTTACATGCAGGCTGCGGCCACCCAGTATCCCCAGCTCCTTCTAGCTGGCTCCAGATGCTTGGGCTCCACGTGGGGACATTTACAACAGATAAATGCTGTCTTGTCCACGTGCTTCAGATGGTAGGGCCCTTAAGGGCAAGGTTTATCACCAGATAGGCCACCCTTCTGGTGACACACCAATTGTAGGCAGCTCAGAGTTTGAAGCCCTGGGTGTCTTCTTGGACAACTAAATCACTCTGAGCCTCAGTTTCCTTATCTGAAAAAAGTGAAGGATTGCAAATGATGGCAGAGATATCCTTAAAAATGACTGTGGCTAGGAGCTTAGGGAGATAGCTCAGTGGGTAAAACACTCAAGGGTTGAAGTTTATATTCCCAGCACTCACGTAAAAGTCAAGTGGTCGAGGAGCCCCTGTAATATGAGGGAAGCCCCCGAGCTTTAGGTCAGGCACTAAACTCTAAGCTTCTCTGATGACAGGGACCGCGATGACAGCACAGCCCCCCCCCCCAAATAAACATGCTAACAAGAAATGGTCCTTTCCCATATAGATATGTATTTGAAAGGCACCAAAAGAAGTGAGGGTATGGAGGCTAGGAATCCAGCTCAACTGCAGAGTGCTTGCCCAGCCTGTACTGAGTCAGTCCTGGGTCCGATTCTTGGGAGTCAGGCTGGGGGCAGGAATGATGGCGCTGGAGAAAGTGAATGTACTTAAAGTCACCAAACTGCATATTTTAAAATGGCTAAAACAGTGAATTGTATACTGTGTATATTTAACACCAATTAGTTTTCACAAAGGGGGATGAAATGGAGGTGAGGAAGGAAAGGGTGACTGACTCTTCAGAGCCATCTGATCGTTAAAGCAGAAGAGTCAGGGTTGGGACACAGTGCTCAGTCGCAATCACCTTGCTAGTCACAGCTAAAGAGCTGAGAGTAGCCAAGATGAGAAATCAAACCAGGGAGAAAGTCAGCCAAGGACACAGATGAAGTAGAAGATCTGAAGAGCAGAAGGGAAAACTAGGGGACTTATTCTAAAAGCCACAACAAGAGGACAGGAAACTGCATTGGGGCCATGTGCTTCTATGTGGATCAGGACAACGTAGGCTGAGGAGAAGCTATAGAGGCTTCAGGAGTGAGGAGCTGGAGAGCAGTCATTCCAGAGCAGGAATTGCTTAGGAGGGATAAGAAATGATACGAGGTAGAAAGTATGCTGGAGTATCAACTACCTTTTCCGGATCTTAGGAAGTGCAGAAGGAACAGGAAGGTAGTCAGTAGAGAGAAGGCATTTTAGATCAGAACAGATATAGAGTACCCGGCTATCAAACTCAAGAGATGCCAGGGCAAAGGAAAGTACACATTAGGCAGAGTGGTCTCAGGCTGGACCAGAGGGCATTCTTGTTAGCATCCACCTTGGAATGGCAGAAGAACCCAGCAGAGAACGAGGGAGGAATGGGGAAGGACAGGAAGACATTTTGAGTTGGAATTCTACAGAATAGCTAGGGAGCTTTGCCTTCGTTGGCCTGGCAACTAAGTGACTGACACTGATGGAATAGGAGGTTGGTGCATCTGAATGCTTGAAATGATTTATAAAGGAACTGTGGGCAATGGGGGGTATGGATTCTGGGGTTGGATTGCTCAGTTAAGAGCCGTGGTGACTCTTCCAGGGGACCCAGATCCAATTCCCAGCACCTGCATGGCAGCTCACACCTGTTTGAGACTCCAGTCCCAGGAATATGATGCCCTCTTCTGGCTTCTGTGAGCACTGCACACATGTGGTGCCCAGACATATGAAGACAAATATATATTTTTTTTTTAAAAAAAAAGGACCCTAGGCAACCGTCTACATTAGGATTTTATGACCACATGCACAGAATTAAATTTCTATATGGCAAGCTGAGAACTACAGATGGACTTACAGTCATTTCATTAATGAAATTTACAGGACCAAAGACTCATGACCAATTGCGTGTACTTCCTCAGTGGGTTTAAAGCATCTGAGACCCACTACTCCATGATTATGCTCACCCAGAACTGGGGATTCTCAAAGCAGATACAGCAACAAGTCAAAGAAAGGCGGGAGTTAGGATGCCTGACACTGGGTTCGGGCCAGTTAGGAAGTTAGGCAGACACAGATTATTTTTAGTTGCCCAACTGGTGAACCCTTCCTTTCCAATCTTTGGGAGGGTTCCCACATTTAAACCATATGAGAAGCAAGCCATATCTCATCACAAAAGTGGGGAAATGCCAGACACCTGCTTCCCCAGATCTCCCAGAAGCTATGCATGGCCTGCAATCTGGATTTAACGAAACACGCACACCTACCAAGAAGTTTGGAGACAGCATTTTTGAGAATTTTTCAGGCTGGTAGCTTATTTTTGGTCTTGTCCATGACCTAAGTCTCTTCTATAGACTCCTCAACTATTCTCCAGGCTACCAAATGCGATGTGAGTGCCTTTCTTTTCTTCATTTATCAACCAGAATCCACTTCAGTTGCTTGTAACTAAAGGCCCCTAGTGAAACAGGAAGGCACATGAACTGGATGGCTGAGGCTCAGCCAACGAGCAGAAGGAGACTATTCTCTCTCCCAGCACTGTTCCCTTCCAATCTAAACTCTAGCATTTGGAAACTATTGAGCCCATCCTAAACACAGACATTTATAGCCCAGTCTAGCCTCAAACTCACTATGTAGCTGTGGATGGCCTTGAATTGATATCTTTCAGCTTCCACCTCTCTGCTGCTAAGATTCCAGGCACACACCACCATGCCTGGAGTATGGGATCTTAGGGATCCAACATTGTGCATCCTAGGCAAACACTCTGCTAAGTAAGCTACACCTCACCATACATTCCCTTTGTAGCTAGCTAGTCAATACTAAGTATTAAGTGACCGTGTGATGTCACAGAGATTTGATAGTCCAGTGCCACAGCTATATTAGCAACTATTTTCCTTCCAAACATTTAAACTTTGGTATTATATATTATAGTGAAGCGTAATCTGCGTCACAAATCAGTAGATCTTGTAGGGATGTTACGTTGTTCTGTGTAGCACGATCCAGGTGGTTGTTTTTTTTTTTTCTTTTTCTGATAGACGTGACACTGTAAAGCGTCACACAGACTGAATACAGAATGGTAGATATGCAAAGTAAATGTTTTGTTGATAGAAGTTTCAGGAATCTATTTTAGGACAGGAGTCTTTTGGGGACTGCAAACGAGCACAGACTATTTTCCCTATGGGGAAAACAGGAGCTTGGTAAGCCAAGAGAGAAATGACCTTCCAAAGCCCATCCTTTAAGGAAAAGTCAATGTCCTGTTGGGGAGTAGCTAGAAGTGTGAAATTTATTAGCAACCTGAAGGTTTCCTTATATAAAAGTGATTCGAAGGGCATGCCAGCATCTCCTGAAATGTTTGCCTCGACTCTCTTTTGAATGAGATCATTTAAGACTATATGGTCATTGAAACCATATGTAATATGTAGAACAGGGATGTGGAAGGGGAAATGAGGGTACAAGAACAGAAAGGATAATGGGGTGTGTGCACACAATGAAAATACATTTTACAAATGCATGGACGTGTCTTCATTAAGCCTCTTTGTATAATTTGTATATATTATCTTTTAATATATACATAGAATGCAAAGGAGGAAAACCACAGTTGGTATCCCCTTGGCTCCTATGGTTATTAGTGCTTTGATGGGCCTTCAAGGATGTGCTGTTTTTCTCTGTGGATTCAAATGATAGAAACAGATAGGGAGTCCCCATGGAGCAAGAAGACAGAGAAAGGTTAAAGTGCAGCATGCCAGAGTGTGAGAGAAAGTAGGCTGGAGCTACTTAAGTACAACCAGAGACCAAGGCCTCTGTGCAGCAGATTTGGTAGGAGACACAGCTAGGCATAAGCATTGTTATCTAGTCGACGGCTTCCTTTTCTTGACAATGGCACTTTCATTTGACTGATGTGAGTTGCTAGCGCAAACAGGGTGGTATAAAGACAGTAAACAGGAATTAGTGTTGGATGTCTAAGAATCATTCACATGTACCTTACTCCAATGTATTTGCAGACAATATTGTACTATTTGTAAGTTGGCTCAGAATAGTCTTGTTAATAAAAGCTTTGAAAAAATGGAATTAGGAAGTAGGTGGGCGTGACATATAATAGACATGAGTTGTAAAGACAAGTTGGAATCTTGGGCATTTCACAAGGATGTTGTGAGATATAGGGTAATAGATGTCAAGGACTTGTATGGGTCACAGCTGGTGCTCCAGATGTTGTGAGTCTTAAGGACTCAGTATAATCATTGCTATAGTCAAAGGTCCAGAGACCAGATTGATTCAATGTCTTGGTTTTATCCAAACATCATTTTAATGCATTTTTAAATGAAAAGATTCATATATATATGTGTGTGTGTGTGTGTGTGTGTGTGTGTGTGTGTGTGTGTGTGTCAAGCCCATGTACCACATGAGTGCATGTATCTTCAGAGTCTAGAAAAAGACATCAGAATCTCTGGAACTGAATGGTAGTGAACTATCATCCTCGTGAGTGTTGAGAACAAAATGCAGGTCCTCAGAAAGAGTTGAAAGTGTTCTTAACCAATAAGCCATCTTTGAAGCTCTAGAAATTTCTTTA